ATGTAATCTCTGAGAGAAAGAATAACACAATTATCACAGCACACATCACACTTCCACGTTTCTCCTTTCTCGTAGCTCCTTCTACAGTGCAAAGAAGAATCAGGCAGCTTGTTTTTTTTTAGCATCCTTTCTCCTCCACCTCAGACACCACAGGCAGGACAAGATGGGAGATGCGACTCCACAGACCACCAAACTTATCATTATTCATTATATTGAAGGAGGTTTGGCCACCGGTGTCCACCAGCCTCTCCTTAAGATAGTCTTGCACCATCTCTTCCACCTCTTTTAGTCTCTTTTCCTTCGGGATCTCATCTTGAGGCAGCAGCACAGAAAACAACAAGAAAACCCGCTTATATGCAGCGTTCTCGTGGTCGCAGTAGCGATAAAAAATGAGAGTGGAGCCTGGCGGCAGCTCTTCCAAACGATGAATGATGGCCACAGGTTTTTCTCCCTCAAACGCTGCTTTCAGCTGACTGTCAATGTCTAACTTCACCTCATCACTGTCCTGGCCTGCTTTGCTTTTTCCATCAATGTCAAGGAAAGAGGCATTGAGGGCAGATGAGAAGGAAGCAGCCAGACCCCGAGCGAGGCACTGCAGTGTCCTCTCAGCCTTCTGGCCTGCAGTGAAAATCAGACTGACTGGCTCAGAGGGATGGGCTGTTTCAAGGTGCTTCTCCAGGTGGATTTTGCTCATCCTCCACAACTCAGGCCGCTGACTGGGGAACTGAGTCTGAAGATCAGACAATTGATCAGCAAACCTTACTAGCTTCACAGCCCTGGATGACTGCCCTCCACCACGTGTCATGTCTTGGAGTAAAGGGACGATCTTGTATATCAGCAATGTCCCAACCACAAATAGTACCAGGAGAACTAACAGGAGAACTACCAGGCGAACTAAACCCCACAAACACCACGTGAACCCTTTAATAACACAGAAACAAAAGAACACACAAAGTTAATAAATAATGTTTAAAAAGCATCATCAGGTCTAAAGATAATAATTAAAATGACTTACTTACCTCTAGAGGAATTTCTGGGGCGTGTCTTGGTAGCAACAAGTTTCTGTTTGTCTTTTAATAAAAGAAAACATGATTATATTAATGCACAGATGTCACCACTATAGCAGGTGTTGCAGAGGACTTTAATACTGAGATAAAGCAGCAATACCAGATTCGTTGGAATGAATAGTCTCTTTTCTTGGAACGTTATTCACACGTCTCGGATGCACACTCTGGGTAAGGTGGTTAACTTTGGATAAATCTGAAGATGAGGCAGAATTTAGAAAAGAAAACATCTTTTCAAAGATCAAAATTCATCACGCAGACGCTCAACCTTTCTATACAGAATATGAGCAGCACAATACCAGCGCTCTGGGCTTTGAGCATCATCGTCCTCTGGTAGTCTGCCATGTTGGACCGCTTGAGAGCCGATGAATCATGTCTGTTCCCCGTCGCGCTGATCTGTGCGACAGGCTTGGTGGAGGGTGCAGGTGCTTTAGGTGCTGGTGTTGCTGAAACTAAACAAAATAGGTTAGGTCAAATAACTTACACTATAATTTAACACTCTGAATGTCAAGGAAGATGGAGCATTTTTCTACCTTTCTTGGATTTCATCAAGTTGGGATCCTCAGTTTTAAGACTGGGTCTGTAGAGCTCATCAAGCACTACACGGGGATTTAAGTTCCTATCTCCGAGAGCATCTGTGTTAAGCAGAAGATTTTTAAGATAAAATCCTAATAAAGTCATAAAAGAAAAGTAACTTAACACAAAGTGTATTTGTATATTATTATATGGCTTATATAGTGAAAATAAAGTATTGGTCCAAGTTTTTT